CCAGTCACAGGGTAAATACTGGTAAAGTTTTACTTCTGTCTTTTATTGCCTTTTTATTTTATAGCAATTAGTCATTTGTGTGTCTTCTTGTATTTTTTGTATTTCTGTAACTTTTTATATTTTGTACATATTTTATGCACTGCCCACCTTCGGGAAATTAAATCTAAAAACTAAATTAGTGACTTCTGTGTATTTAAGCACGTGCTCATATCTTCGGAGAGATTAGATTGGAGAGATTAGATTGGATTAGATTAAATTGTATTGTATTTTAGTGCCTTTAAACGCTCAGTCAAGCTCATTGCCAATCTGTATGCAATTGCACTGTGTGTGGGCAGATTGCGTGCAGATTGCAAAAGGTAACAGATCGGCCAGACAGAGATCTGTGTGTGTGGGGTGTCCCAGCAGAGATCGTTCTGCGGATAAACTGTTGGGTGGTGGCAGGCTACCTTTTGTGGTGTATCTGGTGTGGGGGAGTGGACAGTGGAAGGGTGATTAACACCAGGGTTCAAGCTGTAGGTAGCTGGAGGGACCTTAGAAGGGTAGGTAATTACTAAGCTGGTCCTCAACTCTAATCAGTGCACCAGATTGTAAGTAAGATTTGTATGTGCCAGTGTGTGGTCGACCAGCTGAATTGGAGTGGAGTGTCCATCTGGTGGTGGCAAAAGGTAGTGCAGGCTGGGGAAGTATTTCACGGCTGATCTTATATACGGTTTTATATATTCAAAGTTAAGTCCCCTTTATTCCCTCTTTACCCCCTGTCACGGCCGCAGGTGCGCGCCTCGGTTAGCTAGTCACTGTGGGCATGGCGTGTGGGTGGATCTCTGACAGGAGGTAATTCCAGGAGTGGAGGGAGGGGAGCCGGTATTTAACAATGGATATGCCTCGATCGATCCCACATATGCTTCATATCTCCAGTGTATAGTTAACACACCACTGTAGGATTTCCGAGCGTCGTGACCTGGGGAGGATCTTGATGTCTCGAGGCTTAGAAATCCTACAGTGGTATCCTAACTATACACTGAAGATATATGAGGCATATGCGGGATCGATCGAGACATACCCATTGTTAAATACTGGTTTTATATAGTGAGGTGCGCTGAAACACTTATTAAATGTGAGTGGAAATCTGGAAACTGTTTTTATGGCTAATAAATTGTTTTAGGGATAAAACTCTACGTTGGAAGATCTCTCAATACATGTATGGCTGAGGAGGACTAAAGCTAGGTTCATCTATGTGCGGGTGGTACCACTGCAGATCCGCACAAAAATCCACACACACAGAAGAATGCGGACCCGTGGGCGGGTGCCATTAAATCTAATGGCACACCGCCTGCACTGGAAATTGCAACCGCACTGGAAACCAAGGTTCCTGTGCGGGCTGCTGTTTCCAAAGACGTGAAGGGACTTCTTCCCTGCGTGTCCCGGGGCACGCGAGTCCATTCAAATGAATCGGGGCAAAACACAGCCCACATGGCCGCATATATGTGAACCAGGGCTAATAAAAGAAGGTGGAGAGGCAGAGAAGAGAGGAATCTGACCTGGCTGGGAAGGCACACGTGAGTCCTGAATAAGGGGACACAAGTGCTGTACGACCTCACTTAGCGGTTTGGTCATATATTTCAGGTGAGAGCACATCTGGTGTAGGGCTCTCAATCTATATATAATTTAATACATTCTGGCACAAGTGGTGATGAAGAGAATGGAGAAATCATACTGATATAGGAAGGCACTAAGCAGATATTGGGACTAATAGTTATACTGGATTTTTTATTTTTTGGACAGATGTTGATTTCACAAGAGTGATTTTATAAAAGAGTATTGGGATTTATTAATTTTTAGTGCACTTGCATGTTACATATTTCAACTCTAATGTATAATGGATGTGAATCGCGGCAGTTAATTAGTAGTAATGTATTGAGCGATTTAACACGCGTTATGGGAGTGTGAACAGTGTGAGCGACTCACATAAGCACATTTACTTGTAGCAGCTCACAAGGTATATTGTATAATAAAATAATGTTTTTGCAGGGTTTTCATTCACATTCTGCACCTATTAGCCCATGTGCAGCATATACTACCTTCACAAAAACATTTCTGGATTGCTTCTGACAGCTATGAAGATTTTTTTTGATGGCTGTGGAAAGCAGCAAATTGAATTTGAATTTTAATTGGATTTTATGGAAGAGTAAACACCAATAATCAGCTGCCCATATAAACCTTAACCACTTCAGCTCTCATACCTGTACATACCTTATGGACTAGAATAATTTTTATATTTCCAATATAGGCCTTTTTACTTAACATCGGCATTACTTTAGATAACAAAGCAATATCTACAATGTTTATGAGGAACAACAAGGCTTTCTTTGGCAATATTGGTTGGCAATTTTTTTTTTCTATGTAATTTCTAGGCAAAAAATATGTAAAAAAAATTTGAAAAAACATTGAACAAAATCTATTTTTTTTTCCTGTTTTGACTAGTCTTCATCTATACTTGACAGATCTGGAACCGCTCAAAGTTTCCAGCACACCATCCTGCCAGCTCTCTCTGCTCCAGGTGCTAGTCCCTTCAAAGAGTATGTTCTGCTCCATCCATCCACAGAAATACAAAACACTGGGCTGCACTCTGTTTGACTAGTGACTTAAAGTGTTACAAAACCCACAAAAGTAAAATCAGTCGGTACATGCAGTAAAGTATGCTTGTTATACTCACTGTGGAACCTAAGGGGTTAATCCTCCGCATTGTGTAAAAGGCTGTTTGAGCCGGTCTTCTCTTATTCCCCACCTCCCTTCTTCCACAGTTCCTAATCCATCTGCTGATAGAACAGAGAATTGGGGCAAGCTGCACATGCCCTGTTTGGTGTGTATTGCTAAAGGATTTTTAATTCTTGGGACAGTGCATGTGATCAGCACAGGGCCAATCAGCACTGTCAAGACAGAGGGTAAGGGGTTATGTAGCCTCATAGGACAATCAGGGGAGAATGAAAACTCCTCCAAACAAGCTTTAACCAGTACACTGCTGGACACTGATAGCAGTCACAAGACTGCTTAACTGCTAATGAGAAAAGGTATTTAGCAGTTTATATTTACTAAAATAAATGCATTTTAATGTTCTGTGTACTGTGGGAGGCCAGATACAGTGAATGCAGGCTCATGGGTTTAGTAACATTTTAAGATGCTTTACTGTAAGTTAGAAATATACAAATTTATGCTAAATTTTGTCCCATCTAAAAGAACACTAAAAATTTGGATTTCTGGCTTACCTGCAACACAGGGCATCTTTTTATTCATGACTACTTGGGTTATACTGCCACCTTCAGGTGAATGTGCAATGGCCAAAAAAGGCAGGTTTTCCCACCAGGCATAATCCCTCCCTGGTCAGCTAAGCCTTAGTTATGTAGCAAGCAACGAGAAACATAATCAAAGAGGGGAGGGATCCCTGTGATCTGTGATGTACTCCTAGAAAAGGATTTAACTGGTAAACCAAAAAATGTAAGGTCCTAATCGTACATCACAGGACACAGAGCCTCTTCATATTCATGATCCCTACACTGAAAAGGAGGGGTAGGCAACACAGCAAAAAAAGTTGATGAACGCAACACCAAAAAAATAAGGGAAAACACCACTACAGAGTCACTTTCAAGGCCTTTTGCCCAAACTGTGCATATGTAGAGGCACGAACATAGATGATAAAACTAATTAAAACATGTTAACAGATAACCAGGCAGCAGCCTTACAAACTAGAACAGAAGATCGATGCTGAATTACCCAGAAAACACCAACACTCGTGGTGGAATAGGCCTTGACCAGGAAAGGAGGAACCTTGACATCACAGGCCTGAGAAATGAGCTGACAAATCTACCTAGAGATAGTGGATTGAGAAGCATCCTGACCCTTGCAAGGACCTTCAGGTCGACCAAACAAGAAATCAGGCCGTGGAAACAAAGCTGTAAACCTCAGATAAATCCAAATAGCTCAAAACACCCAGAATGAAGCACTTAGGATTAGGACAAAGATGACAGCACAATGTCCCGCTTCAAGTGGAATGAGGAAACCACCATAGGTACAAGAAAAAAAAAAAAAAAAAAAAAAAAAAAGAGAAGAAGGTGAAAGGTTTTATAACCATATTTTCCTGAATATGAATCAGGAAAATGTTCCTTATAGGAGAAGGCAGCCAACTACAGGAACAAAGTAAAGACAACCACTTGGCTGCAGCTGCTAATCAAGAAAGGTTTCCCAGCATGTCCCTTCAAAAGAAGCCGATCAAACAATCAACTGCTGTCGAGCAGGGATGGACACAGTGATCAACATTTGTCGGAACGAAAAGCAACAATTGTACACTTAAAGATGCAGACATAACTCCGCAGAGAGGCAATATTTAGAGCGAAATAGTACATATAATGTGAACTAAAAAGTACATAATTGGATTATTGTCCATGACTGTCTCACATCAACACTCCTAGTGGTGAGGAACTGTAAGCACAGGGTTCAAGAATTATCAGTTTCTAAACTACGTGTTTGCATACTTGGGTGCTCCATGTTTTATGAGAAACAATTCACTACCAGATTCTCACAGGTAGGGATGAACCAAGGCGTGTTGCATCCTAGTCCAAATCCATGTGAGCGAGCCCCAGTAATCAGTCAACTGTCATTGGCCAATCACCTGATGCCGGGGCATCCCCATGTATACAAGCAGTGGTGAATTCCATGGTCGCAAATGACTAGCCCAGTACAGGTGACGGCTTTCTGATGAACTCACTCTCTATAGTTCGGACTAGGATCTAAAACATGCCCAAGCTCATCCCTACTCATAAGCACTCTATGAGAGCCTGAATTTATCTGCGGTTAGTTTAAGATCACCACAAATCGGCTTTGAAGGCACTGATAAACATGTGCCACTTTTTTTTTTTTTTTTTAAATCTCCGGTCATTCCTAGTGTTTGCATAGTTGCCAGCATTCCCTAATATTTATACAGGAAATACAGAACCACTGATTTTCACCTGTTTCAGTTTCTTCTTCTTCTCCTTGGTGGACATCTGCTTGTTATTAATAATATCCTCCAACACGACCCGTGCTGGATCTTGAGGCTTGCCCAACTTCTCATATTCGTACTGAAGCTTTGCTGGTTGGGGCTTTTCAAAGGTAGGGTGTAGAGTGGAGTCCATATCTGCTCCTGGATACTTGATCTACAAAAAACAAACAGATGTACTGAAAAGTAAGCTATTTTACTTTCCTTTACATTGATCGTCCATTCAGAGGTATACAAGAAGTCTATATATCCACTTGAAGACCAGGCCTATTTTGACACTTTGTGTAGAAAAAATAAAATAAAAATGAGCATTTTTCTGTTGGAAAACGATTTAGAACCCCCACACAGGACTGTTGACAGTTCTTTTCTGATCCCCATGGCTCAGTATCTAGCCTATTCAGTGTTTCCATTGTGACAGTGTGGCAATCTGTCACCCAGGATTCTCAACAAGGCAGGTTGAGGGGCTCCAGGGTAAGTGTTTGATACGGAGGAAAGTGGCTTTTCACTGTCCTCTGTTGTTTGTAAGGTCTGTTTTGGGATCTGGAGCCTGGAAATTTCAAAGAGATCTGGGAGGGATGAAATCTCCAATCCTGGGACCAGGTTTTGGGAATGGCCAGGAGACTGATTGCACAGGTGTGTGCAGGCCTTTTCATAGAGTCAGGACCAGGGTTCTGAGCTCCACCCCGGCAGATAGGAGTCAGGAGGGCTCCACCCCGGCAGATAGGAGTCAGGAGAGCTCCACCAAGGAGAGGTGGAAGCCAAAAGCGGCAAGGAGCTGCTTGGCAGTAGCTGTGTGCTAGTGGCCAGCTGTGTGCGAGAGCCATGTTTTTGCTGTGTGCGAGAGCCATGTTTTTGAAAAAGTCTGCAGGAGACAGACGTAAGCCTGAAGAGGAAGGCTAATGGAAGATTGTATATATCTGAGAGAGCCAGGAGGCTGAATTTTGTTTATGTGGATGATAGCTACCCCTGTGTAGGAAACTTCTGATGTTTTGAACTTTCATTTAAATAAGTGGGCTAAAAAGGCCTTAAAAAAGAAAGCGAGTTGCTGTGTGCGTTTAACCAAGCTCTACCATTTGAAGCGAGTTCCCACATAATGTAAGAGCTAACAAACTCATTGAGTATTTATACACTGACACTAACTGCAATTTAAAAAGCCACAGATGTGGGACATTAACCTCTAATTGGCACTTTAACACGTGTGTCACCTTGTGTGTCTGTACCAAGACCAAACATTCCAGGGTATGTAAACTTTTGATCCATTTGGGTGATTTCTGTTATCAATACGATTTAAAAAGGAGACAAACAACTATTTTATAGTAAATGGCTTCATATGATCATCATCCTTCAATAAAAGAGCATTTTTTTGGCATGACCAGATTTTCAATATCAATGTCAAAATGTCACAATTTCTGCCAGAACACACACAGTATATTTTAGATTTCTATTTTTTTTTTTTTTTACAAAGGCCCTTAAAAAAAATTTGCAACGTCCACCATTTTATGTTAAAGTTTTTTTGTGTGCAGCTGTTTTTGAAATGTAATTTTGTGAAAAAAATGCTTGAATTAATTTAAATGCAAAAAAAACAACATATAAATCGAATTTGTGGTAAAGTATAAAAAGATGATTTACGCAGAGAAAATAGATACCCAACATGTCACACTTCAAAATTGCATGTGTTTGTGGGATGGTGACAAAACTACGATACTTAAAAATCTCCATAGGCAAAACTTTAAAAATTTTTACTGGTTACCAGAGGAGGTCTAGCAATAGAATTATTGCTCGCTATAAAGTTTGCAGTGATACTTCACCATGTGTGTTGCGAACACCATTTACATATGCGTGCGCGACCTACATTTGCATTCACTTCTGCTCATGAGTACGGAAAGATGGGAATAGCTTCCAAATATGTACATAGCAATGAATAAACTGAGAGTAGGTTACTTGAGGTGGTCCTCTCCTCACAGCAGCCCAAACACAGCTGAAGACTCCCAGGGATTATCCGCAACAAATTCAATAAAGTAACCACTGCTGTGCAGATCAATTTAGAACTTGCAAACAATGGAAATGTCCACACGGGCAGGGCCATTTAACCCCGGCGTCACGGAACTGGTCTTTTTTCCGTGGGGCCGCATATTTGTGTACTTATCTTTGTGCTTGGCGCGCTCCTAGCACAAAGACCGCGGTGTCACTGAGAGCCCTGGGTCCTGTTCTAACGATCGGGACCTGGGACTCCCGATTCTGGGTCACATGATCGCTGTGATAGCCTCTGAGTGGCTATCACAGTGATCAGTCACTGTACAGCCCAGCCCCCTGGCTTTTTTCTCTCTCTATGAATGGAGCGTTACATTGTATCTCTCTAACTCCTGGCATAGAGGGAAAAAAAAATTTTAAAAAAAAAGAAATATTAAAAAATAAAATAAAAAATAAAGAAAAATACCTAGATCAAGGTTTGATCTAGTTAAGTGCCAGGGTTAGTGTCTGGGTCAAGGTCAGGGTCAAAGATCAGGATTTAAAAAAAATTGGTGTTAGTGTCAGTGTGTTTTAGGGTAAAAAAAAAAAAAATAAAATTCGCACTATTGTTTATGGGCTGTACTACAGGTACAAACATCAAATAACATACACATATATGGGATCGTAAAGAGCTGGATAATTTATTTTGGGTTGTTTTTGGTGGTAGGTTATGGTAGTAACAAGAAACACACAGCTAAATAAAAAAAATGATTTGTTTACTATTTTGGGCCAGTTTTCCTTTGATAAAAAAAAAAAAAAATCAGGAGCTATCCATTAACATTTACCACCAAATGAAAGCCCAATTTCTCCTGAAAAAAATCAAGGTATAATCCACCTGGATATACAAAGTAGTTGTATGATATGTACGGTTTTACTAACTCATCAGTCAACGTTGCAAAATTGTGCTTAGGTATTTAGATTTGTTTTACTCTTAGGCGTGAAGGGGTTAAATAGTGAAAGTGGTTCCAAAGCCGTAAGGTTTTTTTTACCTTAATGCATTAAAGGTAAAAACACCTTCTAGACTGACACCCCCCCCCCCCCCCCCCCCCTATACTTACCAGAGTCTGATCTCAGTCCAGCGATGTGCCGTCTCCTTCCTCACTGGGCAGATTAATAGCAGCAGGAGCTTCTGGCTCCCACTGCTGTCAATCAAATGCTGTGACAAGTCAGTGGGTGTATTAGACAGCCCATTGATATGAATAATAAATGCTTGCGCACCAACGCACCACAATGGGCGTTTACAGAAAGAGTTGGTCCCTGAATCATATCAGTAATCCCATTTGTTTGTTTTCTATATCTGCAATCTTATTAGGTCCCTTAATGCATTATTAAGCTTCAATAAATGGAGATTTCACAACATAATTGCTCGTAAGCACCAACATAAAAAAGTGGAGTAGAAAGTTATCCTAACCACAGAAACTGCTACTTCTCTTTAGTCTAATGACAGAATCACTGAGGTGCAGCAACCACTTCTGGTACAAAGTGGCTCTCCCATGTGGTCCTGGGACATTTACTAGCAATGACGCAACGTCAAAGTGAGATCTCACTGTTCTGGCCAGCGAGGAGCAACACCCTCGGAAATAGGTTAGGGTCTCTTAGCAATCCTGTTGCCATTGTTAGAATCGTTTGTGAAACAGGGCCCTTAGTTTGTGGTGCTGACATAAAAAGTGGATGAGACATTGGTTAGTGCACATACTTGGGAACACCCACCAGATGATTGCACATTAAACTTTACGGAATTACTTGAACCTGTGCAAACATAGAACTTTAGGCCACAAAAGAAAAAAAAAAACAGAGTACCTGAACTCTTCTCTGGTGTGCAATATAATCCTCCACAGAGTTTTTCAATGATACTGGAACATTCAGTATATTTTGACAATTGTCCATCATGAAAGTCACCAGCTTTGTAGACAGAAGTTCACCCAGATCCACCTCTTCTTTGGAACGAAGGATACAGCGAGAAAAGGTCTGAACCATCTGAGAACATTATGAAAGGGAGTAAGACCACAATACACTGCAGATACATAGGAGATCCAACCCAAACAGACAATTATTTCTATTTATTGTTGTAACAAATCAATATAATGTTGTTCAAAGAGCAACAAAAAAAAGTGCTAAAACCAAGTTAATATATTAGTTAGATCAGAAAATGATGAATTCTAATTGACTGCGAGAGGTTATATCTCCTGTTCTTTGCTGGAACTTAGGAACTAGATACAAAAAGAAAAATATAAAAAAAATATTGGTTGCTAGGAGAAATATTGCTGCTTTTTTCCCCTCTTTGTACTAGTGCATGAAATGAAGATCTTAGTCAAAGGTAAACATATGGAAATATCAGGAGGCCAGCAGAATAATATAGGAGTCATCAATAACTTTTTGTTAAAAAGAAAAATGATATAATTCAAGCCTCTCTGCCACCAAGTAAATACTGCCAAACTGATCCATAAAGTTGGAGTTCACCTTTTCTCATGGCCGTCACTTTGTAAAATCAAAAAACTCAGCTCCTAAATACTTTACTGGAATCATGTAATGGGAGAAACATGGAAGATGCCATAGTTGCCCTCCCTCCTGAAAATGCTAGTCAGCTGGGTGTCATGCTGCCCTCTTGCTTTGATATTTTGAGTTCCTATTCTACAGCAAGCATGAAGATAAGCATGTAGATCTTATCTGATTACCGAATCTGGTTCCACTCTAAATTCCAGTGGTACTGCATCACAGCCACACAGCTAGCAAGGGTGTAAAGAATAGCAGACCCTGAATTTCTCCAATTACAGTATACTTTAATATGTCCAGAGAAAGGATGGATGTCAATAATGGATGCAGAGAGGTAAGCCAGAATTATAGACTAGAACTATGGTCTAACTTAAAGTGAGAGATGTGCTCTCAGACTATATATGTACTGTATAAGCATCTTTATTTCACAGGCTAGTTAGACTACGATTTAGAAGTGGGGATGGGAGCAGGTTTAAACTTGGCTGGTTATAGCCTGGACTTCCACTTTAAAGAAGAAATCTGGGCAAAATTATAAATTTTCCCCATGCAGTAGGGATGCATGGGTGAAATGCTCATTTTTGTCTAGGGTCTCAGAAAGCAAAGATATACTTGCCTAATCCACCAATCCTTTGACCAGTCCCCACCACTTCTGCCCTCGCACACTAGTGGTCTTGTGAATGGGCTGCTCCTGACGTCATCATGCCCACAGACCGGCTCCAGACACGAGGACACCAAGAACAGTCCACCGTTAGACGTGGGGGAGCGTGGTTTTCCAGAGGAATGGGTAAGTACAGCTTTTACATGAGCCCCTAGACAAAAAGAGCACTTAGCCCATGCAGTGTGGGCACAGTCCCACACCAGGGGAAAAGAGAATTTTTTAACCGAGTTCTGCTTTAAAGCATAACTAAACTCAAGAACTAAACTGAATATGTTGCAGCTTACCAGTCCTTAGTAACATGGCTCAAATGGTTATCCTAAAGTCACAATGCTTACCCACTGTAGTGAATCTATAGTGAAGCAGTGTTTTCACCCTAGGTCAAGACTACAGAACACCTCCTAGATTTCAGGCAGGAAGTGTTTTTGCCCATTTACAGAACAGAAAGAACAATACTCTTTCAATAGTAAATTTAAAAAGCATACTCTCTCCTTTTCCAGCAATGCAATGTCCATGAGCTCCCTTGCCAGTGTTTGTCCTTGTCTGGTCATCTTCAATATTTTGGCTCTATGGTCTTCTCAACTGGCCGTGTCAGGGCGACATAACACACGGGAGTTCATGCATCCCACCACCTGGCAGATGCCAAAAATGTACACGGAGCTGCACAAGGCCATACTTGGTCAATGTCATTGTCTGAATATAGCCATGTGGATGTGGATAAGTGAATGAGGTGGCGAGGATCCCCATCCCTTTATGTTCAGCTGTGGGGCACAGAATGTCCGGGCCGCAGCTGAATGATCAAAGATTTAGCAGGAGTGACAAGTTGCCTCCTGGTTTGACCCAAACCTAAGTTTGAACCAAACCCCTGCTCACCCTTACTGGTAAGCTGCAATACATTACATTGACAATTTTGTGGTTCAATATGCTTTAAAAGCCCAAAAGGGAGCAAATCTTAAATTACATTTATGCCTTTACTATTTTTTGGCCATAGAAGGATAGCTTATCTCTAATGTAGCAAAATATTGAAATTGTTCCTACATCCACCCCTAGTACTGAACATGCACCAAGGGAGCATTTGTGCCCAGTCATTATGACATAATAAAAGAGAAGCATCTGGAGGAGCTAAAACTGACAATTTATGCCCATATACCTGTCAAAACAAAAAAGGCAGTATTTTATTTTGTTCACAGTAAAACTATTGCCTTTTAAAATTAAAGTGCCCACATGGAAGAAAAATATTAAAAATATTCTTCCCAAATATTAAGACATTTGAAATACTACAATTTTGGCCATATTCAATTATATATATATATATATATATATATATATATCATACACACACACACATATATATATATATATACACACACACATATACATACATCCATACACACACTGTATGCTGAAATGCTTTTTATTACAAAGTATATGAAAAATATTTTTAAAAATACATTTTCAAATACACTGTATGTCTTTAAAAATACATTTAATCTACATTTTTGGAATGCATTTACAAATATATGTAAAAACATGTTAAAATGCCTTTTATATATATATATATATATATATATATATATATATATATATATATATATATATATATATATGTGTGTGTGTGTGTTAAAAAAATATGAAGAATATATAAGAAAAAAAAAAACGCATTTCAACATATATTATATAGATTTTATTTTATATATTGAATACGGCCAAAATTGTAGTATTTCAAATATATGTCAATATATTTGGGAAGAATATTTTTTAAATATATTTTTATTCCATGTGGGTGTTACTAAGCCCAGGACCCTGCATTCACTCTATCTGGTCTCCCACAGTACAAAGAACACAGAATTGTAATTATTTTAGTAAATATAAACTACTAAGTACCTTTTCTCATCAGTGGTATATAGCTGTCATGTGGCTTCTATCAGTGCTCGGCCGAGCACTGGTTCCAGCTTGGAGGAGTTTTTATTCTCCTCTCACATGTCCTCTGAGGCTGCATGACCTTCTGTCCAGACAGCACTGATTGGCCCTGTGCTGATCACATGCCCCCTCCCAAAAACGAAAAACCTCTCTAGCAATATACAAACAAACATTGCATGTGCAGATTTGCCACCGCTGCTCTGTACTGTCGGTACTCTGTCGAGACGCTGGTGAGCAATGATCAGAGTGGGATCTCACTTCCCTCCATCGGAGTTCAGTGCTTGCCGGAGAGGTCTATTCATATGAATTTTGAAAGTGTGCATGACCTCCGTTGATACATTTAAGCATATCTCTGTGGTGGTGGACAAGTGGAAATCTGGCTCATTGGAAGGATCTTAATACAGTGGATACCTATCTCAGTGGCTCACAGGAGGATAATCCATTGCAGGGGCTTGTGGAAGGAATGCACCCAATTAAGCACTTTTGACCCACCTATGCACACGGGGTCAATACATTGCGGTGAGTGCGGTTTTGGAGGGGGAGCACGAGTGACAGCACAGATCACTAATCATTTGCTATAGGCACTGGTTTTCATCACCAAGTCACGATTGTTTTACACGTTGTGGAAGGTGTCTTGTAGTATGGGAACATTGTTCACTTCAAAAAACTTTGAATACTGAAGCTGTTAGATCGAAAGGACAGCCAAGCAACTAGCATTTTCAGAAATCAGGTTTCTATTGGCAGCGAACATACTGGCTCTCTGACAAACTACATATGCCTAGGGCTTTAAATTCTGCAATTATAACCTGCAATCATTCTCTAATGTCAAGCACATCATGTATTTGATGGCCTGAAAATCCTTCCAAATCCTCCTAAAAAGGAAAAAGTGAAAAAAAAAAAATTTGAACACACGCTGTGGAACAAAGGCAAGCATGGGCATGGAAATCTTTTATTAGGCAGATAAAACCATCCCTTTTGTGAGCAGACACCTGTAGTGCTAAGCTCAGCAGTCAAGGAGGTCCAATTATCCGAAGTCTCTTTAATAACATACCAGTGCTCTGTTCCCTGTGCTATCATGCAGAGGTGGCATATCCCTGTTAAGGCTTATCCTCGCCATCATCCTCATTAGCAGCTGCAGTTTCCTGCGATTTTCCGGTGGCAGAAGCAGACAGCAAAGTTGAAGAGCTTCAATAGCAATCAGCTCCTTCTGCTGAAGACCTGTGACAGCATAAATTACAATGATTCAGAGGCAAAAAGATCTTGTACAACTGACAGACCCCAGCGACTGTATTCCCACTGGTAGAAAACGCATCCTGTTCGAACACATCACATGGTATGGCCTTTCTCCAGATACCGCTGAACAGCGATTTATAAAAGAAAAAAAGGCTGAAAAAATACATAAGATCAAAATCAGTTATGAGGGTTTCATTGTATGACAAGGGGGAATGCCATTTGCTTTAACCTGCATCATTTAAAAAAGGCATTGCTAATATTAGTAACACCAAGTTAAAAAGTGAAATCAGTGGTTGAGTAAAGGGTTTTTGCGGAGCATAAATTTAGAATTTTGTACAGTAAATTTTATATGTGATTTTCATATTTGCACATGACCATCTTCCAGATAGTGTGCCCCCTGATGAGCACTACGGTCCGACTGTAAATCTTTATATCACTACTGAAGCCTGTATTGACATAGGATTGGCAGGAGGAACCCCAGCATTGGGGGGGGGGGGGGGGTGAAGTTTTCTGCCACACCCTGGAGCATCAGATAGCAGCAGCATCTGTAGCTCATGAAAAAGCGCCCACTGAAAAGGCAAGTACTCTTCTGCCATTATTGCAAGGTTATTTTTGTAGAAATTCACTATGCAAGTATAATTCACTATGCGGGTATAATTCACTATGCGGGTATAATTCACTATGCGGGTATAATTCACTATGCAGGGTATAATTCACTATGCAGGGTATAATTCACTATGCGGGTATAATTCACTATGCGGGTATAATTCACTATGCAGGGTATAATTCACTATGCAGGTATAATTCACTATGCAGGGTATAATTCACTATGCAGGGTATAATTCACTATGCAAGTATAATTCACTATGCAAGTATAATTCACTATGCAAGGTATAATTCACTATGCAGGGTATAATTCACTATGCAGGGTATAATTCACTATGCAGGGTATAATTCACTATGCGGGTATAATTCACTATGCGGGTATAATTCACTATGCGGGTATAATTCACTATGCAAGGTATAATTCACTATGCAGGGTATAATTCACTATGCAAGGTATAATTCACTATGCGGGTATAATTCACTATGCGGGTATAATTCACTATGCAAGGTATAATTCACTATGCAAGGTATAATTCACTATGCGGGTATAATTCACTATGCGGGTATAATTCACTATGCAAGGTATAATTCACTATGCAAGGTATAATTCACTATGCAGGGTATAATTCACTATGCAGGTATAATTCACTATGCAAGGTATAATTCACTATGCAAGGTATAATTCACTATGCAGGGTATAATTCACTATGCAGGTATAATTCACTATGCGGGTATAATTCACTATGCAGGGTATAATTCACTATGCAAGGTATAATTCACTATGCAGGTATAATTCACTATGCAGGTATAATTCACTATGCAAGGTATAATTCACTATGCAAGGTATAATTCACTATGCAAGGTATAATTCACTATGCGGGTATAATTCACTATGTAGCTTATAGCTCCTTAATACTAGTTTTATGGCAGACCTGTAGTAACATGGTCTTCTGGGGGAACTAAAATGGTGAAAGAGGGTGAGAGCTAAGCCAGGCGTCATATGTCATAGGTTTGGATCTATATGAAAACTACACCTGCATATATGGATTTATTTTATTAATAATAATAATAATAATAGGCATGCAGATAAAGTTAAAAAGACATTACCTAATGACAGGGTCTTAAAGCCCACCACCTCATCAAGTTTTATTCACCTTACCAGTACTACCCCTTCCTTAAACCAGCCATTCATGGATCGAAATTTGACCGGTTCAGCAGAGACCGGATACATTTTGATCCACGTGTGACTTGTGTACAACGAGGGTGCCCAATCTATCAATCAACGTGTGCACAACCAGCCTGTCAAGTTTTTTTTCTTAACGATTATCGCAGCTGGCTGTAGGCAGCAACACTAATCATTGTGTTCTGTTGGCAGGGAAGGCTCCCTACTGACAGAACACGATAGCACTGTGGGAGGGCCAAAGATTATGCAATTTTCTTTAATTTCACCACGGATAGAAGAAAAGAAAATTTATTTATTCCCCCCCATCAACAATGACCGTACTGATGAGGGAATAAATACATTTTCTTTCCTTCCATCTGTGGCAAAATTAAAGAAAATTAATTAACCAATGGCCTGCCCAAGTCTCATCCTCCACAAGATGCAAGGTGAAAGCATCTCTTTAAACAATATGTGTTGTATATACCAACATAAATATGTACTCAACTAACATGCGGTTTTGCTGAAAAAAAATTAAATAATCTAATTCATTTTAAAATGCCAGACAAATGGCTAAATATGCATCTGAAATAAATGTGAGAGAACTGGAAAAAAGGTTTGCAGTTCTGTGCATCCAGTCTTTTGTCCAGGGACTTCTGCCAAACAGCACTGCCAGATTTTCTATGTACAGTGTGGGGGCAGGAAAGAAATTCCAGCCTCCTAATTGGGAATTGAAAGAGCAGCAGCAGCACATTAATGAGTAATTCATCTGCTTACTCTGTTCATCGGTTTTCTCCTGTCTGAATCTTTTACAAACTGCACATGTGCATAAAGCAGGTCCTGAGTGGCTGTTACCACTTGCCCTTCCCCTCTCTTAGTCAGAATGCTGCAGTTCAGTGAATTAAAAGGGAGTGATATCAACTGGTCTAGTACTATTTATGCTAGCTGCATTAAAAGTACACATTTTAAGAGACCCCAGATTTTGCGAAGACTAACGAAGCTCACACTGCAATAGTCCTCTTTAATGTGAAGCCCCCCCCCCAGTAGTTTTTTGCCACAAGATATCCACAATCTTCTGCACTGAATGGTGACAAGCTTCACTCATCATAGAATATTGAGAAAATACTGTGAGTGTGGTTGTCATAGGTCCGACCCTGAAGAGGCACCACCATGGCTCACCTCATTTACAACATAATGATGCAGGATTTACATTATCATGTCTGTCTCTCTCTGTGTCATCCAGGACCAGACAGTGCAGAGAGAAGAAGAGGATCCTATGCGTCACATGCTCCTGAAGACTTTGGGGGGGGTGGGGGGGGGGGGGAAATAAATAAATATTAATATAAAATATTAAAATGTAAAACCCCCCCTTTTCATAATTCTACAAACATATTTATCCCGTAGTCTCATACTACTAACATAATGTCCATCAAAAAGTCCCACATACAAAAAGTCCAAAAATAAATTACATTATAAAAATTTTAAAATGTGCAAATAATGATCCTCGCTTCTTCAATCTTCCAACTGTGACAATGTCCAAATCTTCCCTTCAATCCAAAAGTACCTCAAAAAAAAAAAATATACTAGATATAGTGCATTATCTTTTAAAAAAACAATATACGTGATAGCATGCAACCACACTGGCGATATAAAAAATAAACATCACACGTGTGAAGTGAAAAAACAGCACACCACTTGACTAGTGGTCCTGTGAAACCCACTGAATGCGTGACACTCTACAAAAACTCACAATTTGTGATCAGTGACAAAATAGTGCCAAATACGTGCCACTCCCCATATAGGACAACATACAATTATTAAAAGGGCTTGTGAAAGGGTCGGGGGTACGGGGTGCGTCGGGGTCGTGGCATCGGCGCTGGGCCGGGGCCATTTTGGAGAAGGTCTCAGCATAGAACGGAGATCAGCGAGGATGGACGGCAATTTTACTATGTAAGCTGTATAGTAAATTGTGTATACCATTTGTACTGTTCCACTGAGTCTGCTCCCATTTGTCATGTGGGGAACGGGGATCCCGATGCCCGTCATTGTGTGAGGAGGTGATTCCATTGTCTACTCATATCAAGGATAGCATACTCCTAGTGAAGGCAACTGTATGTGGTACAAAGGATTCCCAGTATGCTTTGAAAGTTTAAGGGGGTAATTGTATGTTGTCCTATATGCGGAGTGGCACGTATTTGGCACTATTTTGTCACTGATCACAAATTGTGTTTTTGTAGAGTGTCACGCATTGCAGTGGTGGTTTCACAGGACCACTAGTCAAGTGGTGTGCTGTTTTTCACTTCACACGTGTGATGTTTATTTATATCACCAGTGTGGTTGCATGCTATCACGTATATTGTTTTTTTTAAAAAATAATGCACTATATCTAGTATATTTTTTTTTGAGGTACTTTTGGATTGAAGGGAAGATTTGGACATTGTCACAGTTGGAAGATTGAAGAAGCGAGGATCATTATTTGCACATTTTAAATTTTTATAATGTAATTTATTTTTGGACTTTTTGTATGTGGGACTTTTTGATGGACATTATGTTAGTAGTATGAGACTACGGGATAGGGTGTATATGTTTGTAGAATATGAAAAGGTAGTTGGTTTTATGCACTTTCAAGGGTGAAAGTTTGACTTTCACCCTTGAAATTAAAGAGTGTTGATTTATTATTATTAAATATTAAAATGTATTTATTATTTCAGGTACTTATATAGCGCCGTCAATTTACTCAGCGCTTTACACATATATATTGTACATTTACATCAGTCCTTAACCCTCAAGGGGGAACAATCTAAAGTCCCTAACTTACATTCATACATACACATATTAGGGCCAATTTAGACAGGATCCAATTCACCTACCAGCATGTCTTTGGAGTGTGGGAGGAAAACCCACGCAGGCACAGGGAGAACATGCAAACTGCAGACAGGTGGTGTCGTAGCTGGGATTCGAACCAACGACCCTAGTACTGCCAGGCGGAAGTGCTAATCATTTAGTGTGTGTGTTTATTTTATTAAATGAAAGGGTTAGGAAGGGTGGGGAGAGGTTTGGAGTCTGGCGCTGGGCTTTCATAAATCTAAAAGAATAACTACATTAATATTTAATTTAAATTAAAGTTCAAATACAGCTATAAACTGGAAGTTCACCCTAGAATTACTCAATCAACATCAAACCTAACAAACCTAACCTGATAAATTGATAAATGCATAGCACCATATCAGGGGCGGACTGACCATTCGAGCTCTCGGGCACCGCCCGAGGGCTCGGGATCAGTAGGGGGCCCCCATGAGATGCTCCTTTCATTGGCTTTTTCATAGGTTTTTTTGGGTGTGGGCGAGGACACAGGGGCCCCATGATCCCCTATTGCCCGGGGGCCCCATGAGTTGTCAGTCCGCCCCTGCACCATATTAGACTTCTGTCTGTGCTCTAGCTGTTCAGCAATTGGCAATTAAAACTGCTGGTCATTTACCAGTAACACCATGCACAACTCATAAGGGTCTATATATCAAACATAGGGGGAGGTTTAGTAAAACTGGTGCAGCTCTGCATAGTAACCAACCAGCTTCTAGGTTTTTTTATTGTCAAAGCTTAATTGAACAAAGTGAAGTTAGAAGCTGATTGGCTACCATGCACAGCTTCACCAGATTCTGAGTGCACCAGCTTTAGTAAATCTCGCCCACATTCTCAAGGCTCCAACAAAATTTGCCTGACCATACAGCGCTGAGCAAACTGTTGGCGCTATATAAATCCTGTATAATAAATTTGCCACATTCTGCATTATAGTACCACCTCGTACGATTGTTAGCACCATCTAGTGGCAATAAAACAGTATTTTCTTTTTAAATAGCTCAACTTGAGAAAAAAAAAATTAAGAATTTTGGCCACTAGATGAACTTAAACTTTAAATGTTAAAGGGAATATACAGCTGATATCACTGACAGAACTTGCGAAAAAAAGGTGGGCTGCAAGAACTAGGAGGAGGAAATGTATCCATACTGCCTGTAACGACCAACCAATCAGAGTGCATTTATTATTTATGTACCTGACTGGTTACTGGAAGAAACATTTTTTTATATAGCCAAAATGCAATCTGAAGATGAGAATATATTTCAACAGCTCTGCATGCTGACTCTCTTTATTGTGCTTTGATGTGATTAGACGGATTGAGAGAAAGCAGGCTAAGTAGCTGAATAAGTATGGAGGCGACAGCAAACACTGCTGTGCTTTATTGTTGACATTATTAGAGGAAAGAATGGATGTAATAATTCCCTGAAAGATCCCAAAGGCTGCAGCTATAAATAGCTGACATAGACCTTTAGAAGACGTGAATTCTGGAAGCTGAATGAAGATCGGCAATATTTAATGTGTGCTGTGAACACTGCTGAGCAGATAAATACTGCAACATATATTCTTAGTACAATTTCTTTCATTCAGGCACTAACCATTTTATTTTTTATGCTTCCTCTATATTGAGCTAATCATCCAGTTTTGGATGGATGCAAGAAGAGTAAATCACTCACCAGCTTGACACAAATGTTCCTTGTCCTGACTCAGCTGGATGGTCTATAGCAGCCTCTCTCAACTAGAGATCCTCAAAAGGGTTCCAGGGGTTCCTTGAGCAATTTACACGTCTCAGATATGTAACCACTAACAACAATCGTTTAAGTATATGTATGGGGGGCATTCTTCCCACTGACCACCAATTTAACAGGCATTTATCTCATTGACCACCACACTATTATATCAGCAACTAATGGCACATTAGTTATTGGCAGGGGTTCCCTAATGTCTGAAAGTTAAAGCACAACTACAAATCATCTGAGCACCACAAAGAAAAAAGGTGCTATTTAATTCATTTTTAACATTCAAAGCAAACTTCCCCATCCATCCATGTTTCCATGCTTTATTTTCTTGGGAAATCACTATAAAAAAAAAAAACACCTCCTAGCATTTCTGGCTGTGGCCATCTTGAGTAAGGGCAGATGATGTATGCAATTCCAGGAATCCATCTGCCCTTCTCTCAGGTATGCGGGCAGGTGGGTGTGCTTAGCTGAGAAAGCCCCTCCTGAAGCCTGATAGATGTTACACATCATTTGCCAAGGCAAGGAAAAAAAAAAAAAAATTTACTAATGCTAGCAGCATAAGGATTAAAAATAGTCAATGTTGATTGGAAGAGTGAAGTTCCACTTTAATTAAAAAAAAAAAAAAAAAAAAAAAAAAAACATTCGTCAAAACACAAGGCCTGTGGACTGAATCTAGCCCACCAGGCTATTTCTAGTGGCCCTCACACCTGTCCTGGAGCTGCGGCACCCCACTCATCTCTACCCCAGCAGTCGGCAGCAGAGAGGAGGACAGAACTCTGCCTACACATTCTGCGCCTCTCCATGCAGCTGCAGCACCCCCTTGTCTCCGGCTCCCCTTGACTCCCGCCCTCCTCCAGATTCTGCACTTTTTGCTTCTTTCAAGCAGCAGCACAAGGTAAGGGTGGTGGCAGTATGATGTAAGGACAGGTGGGGGACTCTTGACATCTGATATAAGGGGGGGGGGGGGGGGTGCTCCAGACTTACAGATACAACCAGCCCTGTGAGGGCAAATGGAGATTGACACTCTTGATTTTAGAGTTCATCCATGTTAAAAAAGCTAATTTACAGGTATACACAAAACATTTGTTTTGATCAATTTTGCATCAAGGAAGGGTCAGAACCTCCATCGGGTGTTCCTGTCCCAGAGACACGACAAATAGTATAGAATACACATGTCAAACACGCTGAATGTGGCTTGCCAATCCATTAGATGTGGCCCTCACACATCTCCTGCATTTCCTCCCCCTTCCCCCATCTCAGCAGTCAACATCAGAGGGGAAGACGGAACCCCTTCTACAGATCCCACTACTCTCAGTGAAGCCAAAGCAGCACCCCCCCCCCCCCCCTTCATCTGCACCTCCCCTGGTCTCAGCATTCAGCAGACTGGCAGCTGGCTCCAGCCCTCCTCTGGTCTTCCTCCAGACCCTGCACTTTCTGCACCCCAGCTCCTTCCCACCAGTAGCACAGGGTAAGTGGGGGTGCACTGATGTAGGGCAGGGTGGGGGAGCTCTCTTTACTTCTGATGGTGGGGGTTCTTGACATCTAATCTTACAGATACTACCGGCAACCATAATGCTTGTTCGGCCCACGATGAAATGTAGTTTGACACCCCTGGTATAGAACTCCTCTACAAGGGCTAGATAGCAAAGATAAACTGGCAGAGGTTCGAATTAGTCTCTGCTCTTCACGTTGAAAGTGAAAGTTCAGTCAAAACTGTCAAATCTATCACTAGTTGTTATATGGCCAGTGCCTCTTCCCCAACTGAACCACAAAAAACAGTCCATATAAATTTCAATGAATGGGATAGTGTCAGGAGCTCAAAGAAACCAGTCATTTTACTTTGACATAGCATGTGGAAGGCCTCTTTTCCTATCCCATAGTGTTCTCTGCAACGTTACCCTGTAGCATGTTATGTGATATGCAGGATGAGTGGTTTGGATGATGTCAGGAAGAGGGGAGGAAGCAAGACAAGTCAGACACCGGCAAGATAAGCAGATATGGGACCAGTCATCACAACTGGATCTGGAGGGGAAGAGACCACAGAACCAAAATTGGTGTAAGCAATACTTTGATACTTTTTTTTCTAAGTTATGAGATAAAACAAAATTGTTAAAAGCTGGGAAAGTGGTATTTAAATAATTTTGCCCAAAGTTAAACTTTAACTAATGTGGATTACATATGGTCATTGTGGTCACTTCTCTCTTCTTTAAGCACCTCTTTCAATGCACATATGCTGAGAGCATTGCATACAAGAAAAAAAAAAAAAAAAGCACTAGCCCAAAAAGTAAAAGGTAATTTCTACTTAAATTGACATTTTCCCTTTGGCTAGTGTTCAGAGGGTTGAAACACCCACTGACTTCTTTTTCCTTTCTGTAGGACTTCATGGCAAGTGGTCTATACTGGGTCTCCTCATTATGGATTCTCGGATGGGAGGGTAAGAAAATTCTGGTGCTCAGGACCTGTCCTCTAAGCCAAGAGACATAAGAAGCTACTGGTAATTCAGCTGCTGAAAAAAACTTCTGTTCAGCCACTACAGAAGTCTAAGAAAAAAAAGCTTGGCCATGTGGCAATTTTTTTTTTTTTAATAAAATGGAACATTTATCTTTGCTTACCCAAGATGTTCACAAACACATCAAAAAGCTGAAAAGTCAGTAGTGGCTCCTGAAGATAACTGTAATAATCTGCAATAGTCTTAAATACATCTCGTTCAAACCCCGTGTACATTGGTTGCTTCATTTCTGAGCAATTTGGCCCTGAAAAAAGGGAAAAGAGACATATCCATAAAATGTTATGGCAGTTTTAAAATATAAATAAAAAAAAAAAAGAAAATCTAAAAAAAGGAAACTCAAATTTTTTTGTTAAGAAAAAAAAAAAAAAATTAAAAAAAAAAAAAAAAAAAAAAAAAAAAAATATATATATATATATATATATATATATATATATATATATATATATATATATATATATTTATTATTATATATATATATATTTTTTTTTTTATCATCATGTCCCCATTGGGAAGTTTTCTTTACTTCCAGTCTCTGAAAATAAGGAAACCATAGGAATTTGTTCCAAAATGGGAAAAACAAGACACACACACAAACTTGTCACCAGAACAAGTGTCCCCATTCTCCCTCTAGTCCTTTAGCAAGAATAAGTGATTTTCCACCACTTTCTGTTCCAGTAACAACCAACACTAAGAAAAAAGTGGTTGAATCTACTCGAACAGGAACAAGGACCACACAAAAACCCCACACAAGAGCACCACACCAGTTTTTAACCATTTCCCGCTACTTAAGGAAAAACGGTTTTCTAAACCCTTCTGCCTCTCTGTAAAAGCTGAAAATGGCTTCTAGCTGGAATACTTTATATCTTGATTAGTGTCACTAAAAAGCAGAATTGTTTTTTTCATACATGTTATACTCACCTGCTGTGCAGTGGTATTGCACAGAGTGGCCCCGATCCTCCTCTTCTCTGGTCCCCCACTGACGATCCTGGCTCCTCCTCCTCTTTGTGCCCCCCCCCCCCTAGCAAGCCGTTTGGGAGTAATCATGTAGCGTTTGTCCCCATAGCAAACTGTATGTCTACGAGACTTAGTCCCGTCCCCCCACTTCCTCTTCACCAATGGCTCCCGCTGCTGTTCGAGTCCCTGTGTGAAGAGGAAGCGAGGAGAGAAGGGAGGCAGCCGTGCACAACACTGATCTTTTCTCCCCTCCCTTCCCCCTTCACACAGGGCAGGGGGAAACACAGGGAACTTAAAAAATGTTTTTTTTTTTACCTTAATACAAGCAATGCATTAGGGTCAAAAATGTTTAGGTTTAGTATCATTTTAAATCAAGAGAAACATATGTGGCAGTAGAAAATAAAGATACTTACAATTTGCTAAACACTTCATTGCAGACAGCAGCCAGTGTGGAAGCTCTTCTGCAAAAATACAAACCATTTGTATTACACTTTTTTTCACTATGTTTATGCAAGCTCAATACAAAAATTACATGAAAGATGGTAAAATTCATCTAAAACTGAAGTAAAAATAAAATGTAATCTATTGTAGCGTATCAGTCCTTAGATGGCTACATTTGTTTTCTTTTTTTACGGCTAAGTAAATTTACGGAACAATTCCTGCTGATCCTGAGGGAAATCGTGTGTCCTTGTAAAGTCCTGAGTACTGAACTGAAATGTCAGACAATGGTACTTGCCTTCCCAGCTGCCTTCTGTAGGGCAGCACAGTGGCTAAATGGTTAGCACTTTCGCCTGGCACTACTAGGGTCGTTGGTTCAAATCCCAACCATGGCAACACCTGCCTGGAGTTTGCATGTTCTCCCTGTGTGGGTTTCCTCCTTGTACTCTGGTTTCCTCCCACACTCCAAAGACATGCTGTTAGGTTAATTGGCCCTAGTATGTGTATGAATGAAAGTTAGGGACCTTAGATTGTACACCCCTCGAGGGTTAGGGACAGATGTGATATTATTATACAGGATTTATATAGCGCCAACAGTTTGCTCAGCGCTTTACAATATATAAAGGGAGACAATACAGCAACAATACAGTTCAATACAAGAGGGTTAGGAGGGCCCTGCTCACACACACGCTAAATGGTTAGCACTTCCGCCTGGCAGTACTAGGGTCGTTGGTTCGAATCCCAGCCACGGCACCACCTGCCTGGAGTTTTGCATGTTCTCCCTGTGCCTGCGTGGGTTTCCTCCCACACTCTAAAGACATGCTGGTAGGTGAATTGGACCCTGTCTAAATTGGCCCTAGTATGTGTATGTATGAATGTGAGTTAGGGACCTTAGATTGTACAAGCCTTGAGGGTTAGGGACTGATGTGAATGTACATTATATATGTAAAGCGCTGCGTAAATTGACAGTGCTATATAAGTACCTGAAATAAATAAATAAGGACTTATTCACACTGCATTGCTCATAACCAGTGTGCAGTCATGCAAGTGCAATACATTGTTCTAATGCATTGCAGTACTTGTTTTTGCAGTGCTTATTTTTTTGAAACTTCTATGTTAATTCTAAGCACTGCAGCGCATTGTGATGCAATACGTAGTGTTAGAGAACACTGCAAAAAATATAACATGTACTTTTTTCAGTGCATACCAAAGCAGCTGCCTCATGTCCTGATCAATAAAATGCAATTTAAAACCAAACAATCTTGCTGTCCCACCACTCAGTTTCTACTGTAGATGATATTCCGATGCTGAATAAATAGCAGACAGAGGTTGCTTAGACAAGTTTGAAGCTGGACAAGCCCCCCTGGGTGACAGCCATGTTTCTGTTGGTCAGGACACATAGATGGCCCTATACTGTACTGATTTGAGCTAAGTAGCTACTGAAGGGACATGGAAGGACAAAAAAGACTGGGGATTAAGAAACAGTTTTCTTATTAAATAAAATAGCCTTTAGATACACTTTAGTCCTCGAGCACACTGGACGTTTTTACAGCTGCGGTTTTTGGCCCTTGGTATTTTCTACAGCCAGTAAACTCCCCAGCATGTTATCCTATGTGTCCATGCGCACATAGGCTGTAATCAGCGTTTTTTGGCTGGAAAAAAAAAAAAACACAAAAAAAAAACAAAAATAGTGGGTTTCTGGAGTAGTTTTTTAGCTGTAAAAATGCTCTAAACGCTGGTAAAATGCAGAAAAAAACACAGTAAAACACGACAAACCGGCATTTTTGAGCAACATTTTTGTGTGTAAAAACCACAAACATGGAAAAACACCACACACCACTGAAAAGCTTGCATTTTGAATGTGACTTAACAAAGCTAATGATACCAGCATTACTAAATGCCCAGTGTGCATTAAGTCTCAGCTGCTAAATGGTCAAGGGATTGGAGGAAAGCCTATTGGGGGCTGTTGATAAAAAAAAAAAAAAAAAAAAAAAGTAGTAGAAACTGCATCAAATAGGCTTTTGTAAATAACTTGCATAACTACGTTTACAACCAAAAGGGAGCTATTTAAAGAACTTTAGTATTTGGGTTTATATACACATTTTAATCTTGGAATCAGAACAAAACCATTAACAATGCTTATAACACAGCTTTCCAAAGTCCCAGTGTGCATGTTATCAATGGAATTGTATTTATACCTGTATAGCCACAACGTCTTGTGACGGTGTGTGAGAGTCCTAACAGGAATACTTCGAAACAGTCGTTAACTACTCTGGAATCAGAGTGTGGTGAGAAAATGCTGCAAGAACACAGTGAGGTGCATACATACATACATACATGTATGTATGTATGTATGTGCATTTATATGTAATTTCATTGTTTTAAGATTCGGGGAGTTACAATACAGAACTTAAAGTGTTACTAAACCTAGGACCCTGCATTCACTATATGTGGTCTCGGTGTATCTGGTACAGTATACAGAACATGGAAATTAAATTATTTTAGTAAATATAAACTGCTAAATACCTTTTCTCATCAGCAGTAAGTGCAGTCTTGCAACTTCAGCTGCGCACTGGTTAAAGCTTGTAGGAGGAGTTTTCTTTCTCCTCTAGGAGGATGTGAAATGTCTGACCCCTATCTGGACAGTGCTGATTGGCCCTGTGCTGATCACATGCACTAGCAATACACATCAAACTGAGCATGTGACCACAGGTTCAGTCTGTATCAGGTGGTCATTTCAACGAGGAGGGGCAGAGAAGAAAGGATCAAAAATCCGTTTTACACAATGCAGAGGATTAACCCCTTTAGGTTCCACAGCTAGTATAACAAGCATGCTTTACTGCATACACAGACTGATTTTTACTGTTGTGGGTTTAGTAACACTTTAAATAGAAACAGTACAAAACGGAGTGCAAAGGAATAGAACATTTGTCAACATGACATGCATTCCCAGTTAGGGCGAATGACCCACTTAGTGTGACTACTTTTTCAGAGTGTAAGCCTTTGGGGAGAAAGAAAACAAGATTCCTCAGAAGTTCACCCCCAGATGTGATATGCAAAAAGGACCAGAGCTGCACAAAGCAGCTGCAGATCTTATGCATGTATGAAGAGACATTCATTTTAAATAAAATATTCAAAAACAGGTTTATACGGAGTGGCTTTAGCAAAGAATCACCGAGTGCTGGGGAACTTGCATTTAAAAAAGTTAAAAAGGAAAGAATTTTTTAAACCTTATCTAAAGAGAACCTGTCTTGTCCACCAAAGCGTATAAAGAAAGATTTTCAGTATAATGTAGGCACTTTGCAAGCACCATGTTCATCTTCAAATCAGTTCCTTTGTACCTGACAAGCACTGTAAATTCAATTCTTAGACTGGTATGTAGGGCCCTGATTTCCAACCCCGGCATAACAGGCCATATCACACTAGCAGAAACACATAAGCAACAGTGTTTAATACCGTGCTCATCTGCTCCAATAATGGTGATCGTGTCCTTAGGGACTTGGTGCCAGCAACAGGATCACTACTAATATGGCCATAATCATTGTCACCTTTAATTTCAGAACCTCTGAGGTCAGGAGACATGGATATTTGACAGCCGGATGGCATGGGGTGGACCTTAGAGACAGGATATATAACCTCAATTTGGATAGAAGTTTTGGTTCTGTATACAGCCTGGATGTAGGGATCCAGGAGGCTCTCCAGGGAAGACCAGAACAGATACCTTGTGCCTGAACTCTATCATTGATGTTAGTTTGCATGCTTTATTAGACAAACCAGGTTCACATTCAAGAAGAGTCTCAAAAAAAAATGAAAAAGGTTTCAAATGAGCTGTTTCATAGCCTGTACATAACAAGGCCCTCATCTCACTATTCTCAATATTACCTTCCATCATTCACCTGAACAGAAATAATAGCCATTTGATACGTATTCTGTTTAAAACAGACAAGCTGTGATCTCATTTTCGCCTGCAGGAGAAGTAACAGAAGGAATCAGAGATTGCATTCCCATTCGCTCGAGAAACCTGTGGATTTGTAGCAGGCACACAGTCTTCCATGTTATTAAAACTAAGGGGGTCCATTGACTTCTTGGAATTTTGTACAACCGACTATATGTGATCAACAGAAAAAGAAAACCAAAACAAAAAACTAAGAGGTTCATATTTTATGGCCTGCTTAGAGGTACATTACGTACATGTTATTTAGGGAAGGGTTTTGATTAGAACCAATAATGCATGAAGGTGGCGGTATCTAAAGTGCCCCTTGGCAGTTACTGTACGTCAAACACGTACATGTTAAAACACATTTTCAATCACCAGAGCCAACATTCATCTTTATTACCGGTATTTGCACTTCAAAAACAGGCTGCATAATTTACTGCGCAATCTGAAAATTACATTTAAAATTGGGAGTCTTCTTATAACATGAACCTGTCAGCAGTTCCTCCACTGATTGCAAGGTAACAAGTGGTTAGCTTTTCAGAAGATCCATAACGACCCATTTCTTTCTGGGACAATTTTGACAGTTAAGATGGTTATGGGTCACCCTGTATAGTTTTAGGGCATTGCTGGGGAGTAACATCTGAATAGCACAGTACTGGTTGTGCAACACTAAAGATGGATACGCACAGCCAGACTGCAACACAGATTTAACCTCAGCTGTTTTACAGGAGGAGAAAGGAATAGAATACTTACTTGATCGGTCATCCATTACCACAATCCCCTGTTTGTTGACATTGTATACATTGTGCATTATGTGCTTTCCCTTTGCCTGCTTTGTATCCATCACATCATTCAGGGAATCAAGACCCATTATCTTTTGTAAACTGTATGACAAGGAAAAGGTAGTACATTAATAATCCAACAGCACAAAGGGTTTACCAGAACAAATATGAGTTTGCAGATTAAAAACAAGGAAGGATATCACAGTCATGAATGGCAAAATGAGCAATTCACTAGCTGGCTCAGCATTTAACAGTGTGCAGGTAGAGGGGTGCCCCATTGGAACACTGGAGATTATCGACAAAGCAGCCTGGATATGTTAGCAATTAATAGTAGCTGTGTTTGCCTTAGTCACATAATCCCTTCTTATCGATAAAATAAAACAAACAGTCTGTTCAATTATCTGAAATATTGCATAGTTTACCTGAAAGAAGTTATCACATTTTCCCAAGCTTGGCTTGCTATATGTTTATTATATTTAATTTCCAAAATTATAGGTAATAGAGGGAGAAGCAAATGATACAAAATGTAACAACTATGGATGATAAATGGAATTCAACTCTCCCCGTGAACTTGTTAGGTAGGAGTAGGATAGGCTTCACTAAAGAGATGAGTTTTCAAAGGACAGCCTGAAGTATGGCCAAGTAGGAGATAGCCAAATGGATTGGGGTAGGGCATTCCAGAGGATGGGAGAGCCTCCGGAGAAATCCTGGAGATGAGCATGGTAGGAGCTGACCGCAGGAAAAGGGAGGGGGCTTTGTGCTTTTAAGCAGAAGGTCTTGGAAGGCGTAAAAAGGATGGTTTGGGGGATATTCTGAGATGAGGTTGGGGATGTAGCTTTGGGCAGATTTGTGGATAGGTTTATATGCTTTAATAAGTATTTTGAAATGTATGCACTGGGTAAGTTGAAAACAGAGGAGGGATTGGAAGAGAGTTGGCAAACACTGAGCAGTTGGATAGGTGGTGGTGTCCGGTAGTAGCATTTATGATAGACTGAAAGGGGAATAGCTTGTGTAGATGTAGGCCAACAAGTAGAGAGTTGCAAGAGATGAGGCAAAAGATAACAAAGGAGTGAATTAGAAGCTTTTTGGTATCCTGTTGTGGAGATGAAGCCAGAACAAATAGGACAGTGAATAGATGTGTGGCCAATAAAAGTGGTCAGTATCAGGATTACACCTAGCACCTTGACCTAAACAGAACGATTGTTTGCAATGCTGTTGATCTCGATGGGGAAGCCAGGGAAGGGAAGGGGAATATTATGAGTTCACCTCCATGACTGACTGCTTACCCCTCGAGGATTAATTAATGACATTTTACAGAATCTCCTTCCAATGGTCATACCACACAGGAGCTTTGTTGACTTTCATCTAACCAGACTACTAAAGTAATGCCTAAGCTTGTAGTAATGAATACGACTTAAAATTACCATGATAGTGTCTTGGATTTCCATATTTCTTCAATGTTGGCTGCTGTTAACTCTCTGCGAGAAATCAGTCGACATGTAGGTACCTCTCCTATTGCGATACTATGACGTTTATACCACAACTCAGAGTTCTTGAAAAAGAAGATAATTCACACATTTGTAACATATTTTACACAGAAAATACATGTTATGGTCAATATAATTAACATCACAGTCCATTCATGCATGCAAAATAGTTGGCCAAGTTATATTTGGGAGGCTCTTTTAGAGGCATAACGTTTTCAGATCATCAGGTCTGTGAGCTGCACAGATCGTCAATGTATCTACATTCATCTGTACAATGGACAGAGCTTACAATGGGTACAGCAAAGGCTTAGATATACATCAGCACACCAAAATTGGTGGTTTACATTTTTACAGCACAAATGTATCTTAGCTGTGCTAGCATGTGACATGCACTGCATCAATTACCATCATGGAGATGGATGGCCACTTAAGGTTATCAAAGTCCTTGGAGGTTAGTTGGTATATAAGAACTGGCACTCTGGTAGAGTTAACTTAGTAACTGCTAATGTTTTATTTTAACCAGCAACTGTCAAGGCAATATAAAAAAAAAAAAAAAAAAATTATATCCTGAATTACATTTTAAATCAAAATACTGTAGTAATATATAATCTATTTTTTTTTATTAAAAACACTCATTACACTAGAAGTCATGTACAATTTCTTAAATAATACAACTAAATAACATTGAAAATGGCATTGATAGAAGCAAGTATTTCCTAACCCAGAGATTTAAAGACTATGACAAACAGTTAAGACATACACAAGATACCAGACACACTGGTGTATATACAGTAAATAGAATACAATATATACAGTATATGTAGTTGTTAAGAGTTTTCTGCACAGTGCATGTCTTGCTCATCCTTACCCTTTTAAAGTGGGCCATTCATACAAGTTTTATACTGACACATTTGTATCTGCACAGCTATGTATCTGCACCAAAACAATGGCAAAAAAAAAAAAGAGAAAAAAAAAACCTTTATATCAGAAATGCACACAGCTGTCAAAAGGTAAGGCCCTACCAATCTTCATACGTCAGTAGTCAGCCCTTTTTACATATACCATATGTTCGAATATAGCTAGAGAACAGATAGAGCGTTCAATGATGAAACATTTGCTCCCCTTTAATTAAAGAGAACAAATGGTATAGTTGGGGTCTTTCCAAAATCTCAAAAGAATCTCTGCAAGCAAAAACATTTTTACAAAATTGTGCTCTTTAGCTCTCATACATGGGCTGACTGTCAGAAGTGATGCTCACACTTACAACACATTCTTAGAAGGCACTTTAGGGTCATTCAAAAAGATGATTACATAAAAAAATTGATCAGGAAGCGACTGTAGGCAATTCTTGAGCTTTCCAGACATAGACTAGCTCATCCTTCTCATGGAAGGTCTGGTTTAGATTTTCAGACTGAATACTATTGTCCATTAGTTTAGGCCAGTGCCAGGGGTGCCTTATCCAGGACCCTCCTCAAAGACAAGCTAGTGCCAGGGGTGCCTATGCTGGTTCCTCCACCAACATAAGCCAGTTCCAGAGGTGTCTATCCTTGCCCTTCCTCCAACATAAGCCAGTGCTATGGGTGTCTATCCTGGTCCCTCCTTAAAGATAAGCCAGTACCAGGGGTGTCTTTCCTGGTCCGTCCTCCATGATAAGCTAGTGCTAGGGGTACCTATCCTGGTCCCTCTTCCAACATAAGCCAGTGCCATGGGTGTCTATTCTGGTCTCTCCTCCAAGAAAAGCCAGTGCCAGGAGCATCTTTCCTGGTCCCTCCTCCAAGATAAGTGGTGTCCATCAATCAGGGCTTTGTTCAAGATGCACCAGTCCTTGGTGTGTCTTAGTGCTGCCAACCCCTTCAGATAATCTGAATACTTAAAGTGGTTCTAAAGGCTCAAGGTTTTTTACCTTATTGCATTCTATGCATGAAGGTAAAAAAAACCTGTGTGCAGCAGTGCCTCCAGCCTCCTGAATACTTACCAGAGCCTCATCGTGATCCAGCGATGTGAAGGACAGCCTCGGCTATCCCGGATCTCTGCCTCCTTTTTGGCTGAGACAGCAAGCCAATCAATCACAGCCAGTCAGCAAATGAGGAAAGATGGGGTGGGACCAAGCTGCGGCTCCAAGTGTGAATGGACACACAGAGCAGCAGGTGCCCCCATGGAAATCTGCTTGCTGTGGGGGCACCCAACAAACAGGAGGAGTCTGCAGGGGACCCGAGAAGAGGAGGATCCAGGCTGCTCTGTGCAAAACCATTGCACACAGCAGGTAAGCATAGACATGTTTGTTATTTTACAAAAAAAAAAAAAAGAACCTTTAGGATCGCTTTAAGTTTATTAAAAATTGAAAGATATTTTGTACAAAAGATAATTTCTTGGATCTCCTACTGACATCTTTTCTATATATCAAGCTATGACCAACTGGTTCCCTTTTGTGCAGCATAACCGACATTTGTACAGCAGACACAATATCCCTTTTGGCCTTATAAACTTTTATAAATATATGCTAAATGCCTAAAGATTCTTGGGATTAGGAACATAGAGCTTAAGAATTTCAGATTCCACTGAGATTTTTATATCATTAAATGATTGGCTTCTCCAGCAATCACTGAAAAACAACCTTCACAAACACCTGACACTCCAAAACACAAATTCCACTCGCTAGCGCAGCCATTTCTTCAGTCCTTGAATATTGAAGAGCCGACTACATGGGATGAGAGAGAAACATGTTTGATTAACATTTCTCCCTTATGTCATTTGGGAATATATTAGCATAATAGAATATCAACCATGAAGATTAAAAGTGCAGCAGGTGGCATATCAGAATACATTTAGAAAATTATACAATAGGAGAAAATCATTTGCTTGGATCGGTGACAAGAGGATTACTGCAAGTGCATGTGTGTGATGGTGATAAATGATACATCTGGTGAAGCAGGGCATCACCAGATCTGATCATACAGAATAGAGCATGGAATGGTGAAAACCCGACTCCTCGTGTCATACTCAGCCTTATGCTTCTTTTTCTAGGATAGATTGCAGTGTGTTCAGAGTATGCAAGACAACATTGATAGTTCATAAAGGAAGAAAAAAATCGGGTAAAAAGCAAAACTAGATACTGTATAACTTAAGTACAACTCAGTTTCCGTTTCTGCACCTGGGGGGGTAGCTTATATACAAAGTACATGACCATCTAAACCAGGTACTCAGAATAGTCTGTAGCCTCGGCCAATAGGACCTTAAACTCACTGGGTGTCCAACTTTGCTTGCTCCACCAATAATACAACGGGTTAATTGACATATGAATTGCAGGAGGAACTTTGCAAAAAACAATTCATAACTGGATGCTATTTAATGGGTAAAAAATGCATTTTACTTATTCTGAATAAATCACCCCAACTGTTTTACAATACATTCTTGTTGTAACCATGTATATTGGTTATAAAAATAATCCCCCTGCGCTCCACTGGTAAGAACACAACCCCAATTTATGCAAGCTGCTACCACATATTCCCAATACCACAGGATGTATGACATAAAAAAAACAATATTGTGAAGCGCTTCACATGAAAAACTAAATAAGTAGGTGCAATGGTATAAAAAATACATATAAAGTGACCACACTGTATTGAAAGGTATAGATAACTAATGCTAAATAATCCCCCCCTAAAAAATATAAGTGGCAAGTGCTGAAAGTGCAAAACAGGTCATGCGTTTGCTAACTAAATCGTGCCAAAATACAATATATGCACAATAAACATAATACACAATAACATTGCACACTCTACCTGAAAGTGGAAAGTGTGCTCAGCATGGGTATGAATATTGGTTAAAAGTAAAATCCACAATAAAGTGCAAAACAGGTCATGCGTTTGCTGAGTAAATGGTGCCAAAATACAATATATGCACAGTGAAATATTACACAATAACATTGCACACTCTAACTGAAAGTGACAGGTGCTCAGTAGGAGTATGAATATTGGTTAAAAGTAAAATCCACAATAAAGTGCAATAACAAAGTGCTTGACATTTCATGTGCAAACTAACACCGCGATGTCAGTGCTTCAATTCTTCACTCCAAACATGATGCGTGTTAGCATGCCACACGTGTATATCCTAATCCAAAAGTGGCTAAAGTGCGTTCTCACCTTAACCATGCCATTCATACTCATACTGAGCACTTTTCACTATCAGTGTGCAATGTTATTGTGTATTATGTTTATTGTGCACATATTGTATTTTGGCACGATTTAGTTAGCAAACGCATGACCTGTTTTGCACTTGGCACTTATATATTTTTTGGGGGGGATTATTTAGCATTAGTTATCTATACCTTTCAATACAGTGTGGTCACTTTATATGTATTTTTATATCATTGCACCTACTTAGTTTTTCATGTGAAGCGCTTCAACAATATTGTTTTTTTTTTTCCATGTATATTGGTTGCCATCACTGGTCTTTAAAGTGGTAGTAAACTTACATTTTTGATAGGTTGCTGACAGGCACGGTATTTATGAAAGAACAGACCGATGGGGGTCTCTTCTGTCAAAAACACTTCAACAATCATACATACTGAGCCACACATGAGCAGCTCAGCAAACATTTATGGCCCCCGATCTGTGCCACAGCGATACAACTCAGGAGTGACATCATCGCGGCCAAAGGCACAGAACCCAAGAAGGAAGACCAGGTGAAGATGGAATGGTTTAAAGAACCTTGTCCAACTACTTTATACCCTCTATAGATGCACCTGCAGTGGAGCAGTCAATCCCGAGTTCCCTCATTCTCACCTCTCCATAGGGGAAAAGCACAAGGCCCACCAAGGATGCAGGTCTGTGTACCACTCTACTCCATCTTCAGGTTGATGTTGGCAGGATCTCCCCTGCATTTCCACCCTCCTGAATATAATGTATGATTTGAAGCCCAACTGACCTTCAGTTTAAAATATGCTAAATATATTCCAGGTGCATCAAAACAAAAAAGGTGTGCAAAGTCTTACGATTTCTTCCTTAGAAAGCAGTCTAAGAAAAGTCTGTCCCCTGCCAGTATGTTGTAGAGAAAGACCCTTGCTTCTATTTTGTGGGAAACAGTGGTCTCTATGCAGAAGTCTGACACACCCATGTGTGTCAGAGCTACAACTGTCCAATCACCAGGGAGCATGAGCTTACTGGGTGCAGAGCTATAGGTCTAACTCTGGGTGAGGTTGCTATACTTCCGCATAGAGGCCACTGCTTCTACACAGAGATTGAGGGGTCTTTTGTACAGGCTGCTGGCAGGTGACAGGCATTTTACTCAAGACCTGGTTCCATTCTAAAAAAATTAAAAAAAAAAAAAAAAAAAACACAACAAACCACACCTCTACGGCTATGTTCACACTTTTGTGGGCTGCATTTGCATGGGCATGGCAGCCTATTCATTTGGAAAAAGGTTTCTGCAGCATTTTAACAATGCAGCAGACAAGAAATCGCACGGTGCTTTTGCAACATGCAATTTCCCTGCGGTTCCCGCACCCACAAAAAGCTCTGAGTTTTTAGATGCATGGGGGTGCCACTAGGAATGACTGACAGCCCTGAGCATTTTTAAAGAGGAACATTTTAAAGAGCAACATTGGCTGCAGGTGGTTGTGGGAATCACTTATTCTCGACCCTGCAACCACCAGGAATAGTGTGAACCTAGCCTTTTGCTGGGCATACACGGTGAGAAAATAGTTTGAAAAAGCATTTGATACACTCAGTTGTTTGACTTTCAAAACGTCAGTGGGCTAAGTTCGAATATCGAAATGCAAAGTTTTATGGCAAAACAACAAACCAACATATGTTGGATTTTTTGAGCCAAAAATATTGATTTTCTAAAAAACATTACTAAAAGAATTGATCGCAAACAGTTTGACGAAATCTACAGCGCATGCGCGTTAAAATGTAACCCAGAAGTACAAGCAACAAAAAGAAAGGTTTTTCTTTTTTTAATACAGTTGGCGAGTGGGAGGGTTCACGAAAAAGGTAAAAAAAATGTTATCATTTCCACTGATCGACAAAACTATTTATTATTTCTTTTGGAACGATTGATTCGATGACAATCGGGTGATTAGGGATTTAACGGCTTTACACCTGAAATGAACAACCTTGCAGACGAGAGCTCCGAATTATATGTTTATTAGCGATAATACAATTGTATGAGAGCACCCATGCCCTGCCCATCAGATGCTCTGATTAGATACAGTATGTGACAGTCCATACTTTTATAAGGTTTTTTTATGGCTTGTTGCCCACCTTTATGCTGATCAGTTACACTCCAGAATATTTGCCTTTTACACTTCTGGATATCTTATCCAGACATTTTAGCAAACATTCATCATTACTCGGCAGTTTTTGACAACTTACATAATATATCTCTTACAAGCCTTTGGTAGTAGCAGAAGCCATTTTAACTGCAGAATACATTCACTTACTGATCTATGATAGCAATTATAGCCATGAGTAATACAATAAATCATATATATATACACACACACACACACACACACACACACACACACACACACACACACACACACACACACACACACACACATATATATATATGTGTGTATTAATTAAAACACTCTTATTTAATTATACTATATTACTATGATGTAGGATATAGTAAGGATCACTTTTCTCTCTATACAGGGGGGAAATGTTTCAATTATGTCGTTGTTTAGCAACAGATCTTTATATGTCCTACGTTTTTTCTGAACAATTTTCTAACCGTGTATGGCCAGCAGTGCCACACACAAGTTCCGCCCACCTGTGCCCAGCAGTGCGCCCACCTGTGCCCAGCAATGCAGCCACCTGTGCCACCCAGCAGTGTCACCACCTGTGCCACCCAGCAGTGTCACCACCAGTGCCGCCAGTCAGTGCCCCAGCAGTGCCGCCAGTCAGTGCCCAGCAGTGCCGCCAGTCAGTGCCCAGCAGTGCCGCCAGTCAGTGCCCAGCAGTGCCGCCAGTCAGTGCCCAGCAGTGCCGCCAGTCAGTGCCCAGCAGTGCCGCCAGTCAGTGCCCAGCAGTGCCGCCAGTCAGTGCCGCCAGTCAGTGCTGTCTATCAGTACCCATTATCAGTGTCGCCAATCAGTGCCACCTATCCGTGACACCTCATTAGTGCTGGCTATCAATGCCGCCTATCCGTGCCACCTCATTAGTGCTGCCTATCAGTGCCCATCAGTGCCGCCTCATCAATGCACATCAGTGAAGGAGAAAAATTACCTGTCTGAAAAATTTTATAATAGAAACAAAGAAACTTTTTTTTTTTTCCAAATTTTTTTGCACTTTTTTTGCTTATAGCACAAAAAGTAAAGTGCCCAGCAGCGATTAAATACCACCAAAAGAAAGCTCTATTTGTGAGAAAAAAAAGATAAAAATTTCATATGGGTACAATCTTGCATGACTGCACAATTGTCAAAGTGCGACAGCGCTGAAAGCTGAAAATTGGCCTGGTAAAGAAGGGGGTATAAGTGCCCGGTAGGCAAGTGGTTAAAGAGCTAAACTAAACCCATTGATTTAATGGTTTCAAAAGAGCAGTTACATTCCCAGCATGCCAGGAATGATAATTGTCACATTTGCTTGTGCTCTCAACCAAACTGTCAAACCATCAAATGGCTGGTGTCATAACTGGCCACATGTGCAGCACCATGGCAGTTCCAGATCAAACCGAGAGTAAGATGGCATCTTCCTTGGCAGAAAAGGATAGGAGGGTTTAGTTCCGCTTTAAATACCTTTTGTTTTGATGTACCTGGAATGTTTTTAGCTAGTTTTAAAATGACTATTTAGTTTGGCTATAATTTGAAATCTGATAGGCTGTTAACACTAACACAATCATTGCTCTTTGCACTACTCTTTTAGGGAATGTGAGAAGGATAACTATTGTTGCATCAGACAGACGTGTCTAAAAACATATTGCACTAGACAAACTTATGTAGACGTAAAATTATGACAGTTAGCATTGTCCCCCTGAAACAAATATTAAAAAAAAAAAAAAAAAAAAAAAACACAACACACACACAACACAATAACAAAACCTTATAGTAAAGGCTAACACCAAAACAGAACTTACCATCACAAGGGGTTTCACAGGAATATGACTATGGGAGGTCACAGCGTCCTCATCACTCCATCGTGGGAACGGAAGGGGCTCCACTTTCTGTGGGGGTCTGTTTGGGTATGGCTTAAGTGGGGAAGTTGGTGGGAACCTGCAAAAGAAAGTCAAAAGACGAAGCATAACTAAGGAAATGGATGGTATTAAGGGACCACATTTAGTATCATGTTATACCAGATGCAAGCTATCCAACTCTGCTCTAAGTTAGCGTGAGGTTTACGTCAAAAGCTATATTATCTACAAGATGCCACCTGACCGAGAAAATCAAGTAGAAGCTGTAGATTTGAGGTTTCTATAATCACTGAACTATGAAAATAATACATAGCATATAATGTGAGCACTGCTGGGGATTATTGCCAGAAAAGAGGAATTGTCAGCAATACTGATAGGAAGCTTTACATCAACTTCATGTCGGAAATGCTGGCAATGCAAGTATTTATCACAACACAACTCAATTGTATGTACCTGAAGTAGATGTAGAGATTTATTTATATAGATACACAGTATATATTTTATTTATAGTAGTGCACTTATCCTTTAACCAGTTCCGCGCTGCCCTATAGCAGAAAAATACTGATACAGGGCGGCACAGGTGCGCAAAATCACGTATATACACACAGGTGATTTTGAAGTTCTGAGTAGGGGCACTCGTGTGCCCTACCTGTGCCGCCATTCGTTGCCTTGGCTGTTAATCACCGGGTCCCGGCCGGTGATTACTCACTAGCACCTGGTGATCGCCAAATATCTTCGATGGGGGAGAGACCTGTGTATAAACAACACAGGTCTCTCCCCTGTCAGCTCCTGCACACTGCTTTTTATGGCTCTGCAAAGCAGAGCCATGCCAAGCAGTGTGCTTACAGTGAAACACAGACGCAGCCAACATAGTAAAACAGCGCACAGTTAACCCTTTGATTGCCCCAGATGTTAACCCCTTCCTGCTCACTTGCATTAGTACAGTGCCAGTGCTTTTTATTATCACTGTATTGGTGTTACTGGGGATATCAGGCTGATTGCCACCATTACTAGTAATTTTTTTTTTTTAGCACAGACATGTAGCAGAATATCATTTGGTCCAAATTTATGGCGAAATTTGATTTTTTTTTAATTTTTTCACTGGACATGTTCATTAGCAAAAAGTTAAAAATAGTTTTTTTTCACAAAATTGTTGGTTTATAGCGCAAAAAATTTAAAAACTCACAGGCGTTCAAATACCACCAAAAGAAAGCTCTATTGGTTAAAAAAAAAAAAGGATGTAAATTTTATTAGGGTGCAGCGTTGCATGGCCGTGCAATTGTCAGTTAAAGTAACGCAGTGCTGTATCGCAAAAAATGGCCTGGTCAGGAAAAGGGAGTACATCCTCTGGAGGGCAAGTGGTTAATCTTCTGTCCTATCTACAGTCCTTAATTGGTTTCACATTGGCATTAAGTGGTGCAATATTTTTGAACAGTGATTAGAATTCACCTGTACAAGCTGTTGTTGTCTTCAAAGTCTTCTTTCCCCCATCTACCCTTCACATCCTCTATAACATGGTTCTTCGCGAACTTCTTTAAGAGCTGGATAGTTTGAGCTCGAGTCACTTCTGGTCCAAAATTCTGGTTGCACTGGAGCAGCTCATGTAGCCAGTCTACAGCTTCCGAGGCTGTGAAACACTTATCGTAGATCTTAAAGTGCACGCGATGCCTCTTCTGCGGCATTCCAGCACGGAACAGCTCAATTGTTTCATTCCACTGAAATAAAACAATACAAAACGTTAATGACACATTTTCACTATGCCCTGTGAGTAGGCAGTGCCGTGTCACACATTTCACAGAGCCTGCCTTCTGACTTACAGAGGTGTTTAGAGGAGGAGGAGTTTCAGGAGGCGTAGTACAGGAATCAGAAAGGTACCATGGGATATGTAGTCAGCAGAGGAGAAGCTGCAAAGCATGCCGGGAATGCAAGAAGATGTGGAATGGCCAACAGACAGGCAGATCATGAAAGGGTATTTTTCAAAGTAAAAATTACTATCCTATTGCTATTAAAATATAAAACATGTATACTGTGACTTTAGATTATTATTATACAGTATTTATAAAGCGCCAATAGTTCACTCAGCGCTGTACATTACAAAGGGGGACAGAACATGTGACAGAACAATACCAATACAATGCAAAAGATGAGGGAATCGAGGGCCCTGCTCTTTCGAGCTTACAATCTAGATCTCCTTTATAGGCACCCTGTGACCAAACCATTAATTTCAGCAAAAATCTTCCCAATAAATTATTTGCATTTAAACATTTTACTTGTAAAAGAATCCCTTATATAGACATCCAAGAATGCCTAAGGTTTGCCATACAAATAGATTATTTTCCATTCAGTCTGCAAGGAAAAAAAAAAAAAATTAAACAGATTCCTCCATCCCCACTACACAGCACAGATGGAGGATTCCCCACTGTGGCTACTATATTCTAACAGCTGGCCCAAAAACACCCAAACAGCCAACAACATACAAACCATCACTAAAACATCCCCCCTTGGCTCTCCCAAGCCAAACTTTGTGCTACCCATACAGTTAGACTCCTGTTTGAAAACAGTAGGTATTGAAAGGTTTGTCCAAAGTTCTAGTGTTAATGTTTAATGGGGACAATTCAATGATTGTTTTCAATTTTAGTGAAACATTTGAAGGTGAAGGACAGAAAACTTTTTCTTGTTTCTTTTCTGAACATTGAAATTCTAACAGTGAATGTGGTTTCTTATTGTAAAGTGCATGTGCTAGGTAGAGTATGATCCGGGGTTTGGGGTGCCATTGAAGGATAATGTTGCACAGCGCATTGTGCTGTGATTGGCACATAATTTGGAATTGTGGCGATTCTGCCCGTGATTCCAAATTGTGAAGTGTGAATGGAGACTTTTGGGCAGCCAGATGTAAACAAATTTTTTAAAGCTGAGTTCCAGTCGATTTAAAATAAATAAATAAAAAAATAAAAAAGTCAGCAGCTACAAAAGGAGGACAACTCTGCTTCCGATCACCTTAGGGAGCGCAGGAGTGGGGAACCTGTCAAATTCGGGTACCCACTCCCCCCTGCTTCCCAAAAGGTGCCAATCCTTAATGGGGAGCGGGGGACAAGTGCCTAAAGCGGAACTTCACCTTTTGGGTGGAGCTCCGCTTTAAATTATTTTTTGGGACATCAACAGACCTGGAACTGTAAATAGATGCAAGTCCGTTTACATCTGCTAAACCAGAGAATGACATTGAACTTCCAATCAGGTCTGCCTGAAAAACTGACAGACAGACCCGATCAGCTTGTTTATCAGAAAGTGGTCTAAAGCCCCCCCCCCCCCCTCCTTCAGGGGTACAGAAAATTGGAGATGATGGAAGAGTGGAAGAGCTTGTGCCATTGTGCATTTAAATCTACTATATGTGATAAACATGCCAGTATGTACAGAGAAAAAAAACCCACACAACACCTCTGTACATACACAACTTTTAAAATATTTGCGCTTTGACGTGGGCTTAGCATTACAATTCACACCAAGCATTAAAATCGACAGAATAAAGACAGCATTACAAAATTGAATAACTATTTGCCAGGAATAAAAAAACTGTTGCGATTGAGAGTCATCATGTGACCTAAACCAGAGGGAAAGGACCACATGGATCTCTGCCTAAGTATTGTGGGTGCCTTACACCACTGTATATTATTATTATACAGGATTTATATAGCGCCAACAGTTTGCTCAGCGCTTTACATTATAGTGGGGAACAATACAGTTCAATGCAAGAAGGATTTGAGGGCCCTGCTCCTTGGAGCTTACAATCTAGAAGGGAGGGGTTAATGGTACAATAGGTAATGACTGTGGGGGATGGACTGGTTGGAAGAGTAGAGGATTCCAGTATTAGCAGAGGGCGGGATAGGCTTCCCTGAAGAGATAGGTTTTCAGTGATCGCCTAAAAGTCAACAGAGTAGGCGATAGTCTGATAGATTGGGGTAGGGAGTTCCAGAGGATGGGGGATGCAATGGAGAAGTCCTGGAGAAGTGCATGGGAGGAGGAAACAAGGGAGCTAGAGAGTAGGAGGTCTTGCGAGGAACGGAGAGTACGGTTTGGATGATATTTGGAGACAAGATCGGTGATGTAATTTGGGGCAGAGTTATAAATGGCTTTATATCTTATTGTTAATGTTTTGAATTTTATGCGTTGGGCAATGGGAAGCCAGTGGAGGGATTCGCAGAGAGGGGTGGCAGATACAAAACGGTTAGTAAGGTGGATGAGTCTGGCAGCAGCATTTATGATAGACTGAAGAGGGGATAGCCTGCGATGAGGTAGGCCAATGAGGGGGGAGTCACAATAGTCAAGGCGAGATATAACAAGGGAGTGAATAAGTTGCTTAGTGGTTTACGAGGTTAGGAATGTCGTATCTTGGAGATGTTGCGGAAGTGAAGTCTTCAAGATTTGGACAGCGATTGGAGTCTAGGATTACGCCTAGTACGCTGGCATGAGGGGAGGGGACTGATGATTGTGTTATTGATCTTGATAGAGAAGTCAGGGGGGGGGCACAAGCTGGAGGGAATACTAAGAGCTCGGTTTTGGAAAAATTGAGTTTGAGGAAGTATACCGCAAAGATTCTTGCAAAAGGACATGGGGCAGCACAGTGGCTAAATGGTTAGCACTTCTGCCTGACAGTACTAGGGTCATTGGTTCAAATCCCAACCACAGCACCACCTGCCTGGAGTTTGCATGTTCTCCCTGTGCTTGTGTGGGTTTCCTCCCATACTCCAAAAAGACATTCTAGTAGGTTAATTGAATCCGATCTAAACTGGTCCTAGTATGTGTATGTATGCGAGTTAGGGACCTTAGACTGTACACCCCTTGAGGTTTAGGGGCTGATGTGATAGTAATATATGTATAGCGCTGCATCAATTGACAACGCTATAGAAGTACCCGTAATAAATAAAAATGCAGTGAGCCAATATGGTCAGGAAGGCACAACCAGTGTGCAGCACTACCAAGCAGGACGTAAAGCCTGCAAATGTAATGAGAGAATGGCTGCCTCCATGTATATATTTAACTACACACTATACACAAAAGGTTTGACGATATATTTGTACTTCACACTGATCTTTTACACAGATACCCGATTGACTGAAAAAAAAAAAAAAAAAAAAACGGAAATGGGATTGGTATAGTTCCTCTTTAAGGGCCTCTAGATATAACACTTTAGTATGATTCATTTCCACTGCTGTTTCATGAACATCTTAAGTTCCACATCAGCATGAAGTCTTTCAGCATAAAATGAGGTTGAGCCATGAATACTAATCATTAGACCAACTGGTTTCTGTAACAGGTCACTCTGTTATTTGGTTCCATTGTTAAATGGTTAACAGCCCATGAAACTGAGCCCTGCGGCTCCCACCCCACCTGAACAAACACTTATTAAGCTGTTACTGCCAGATTGGTCATTTTCTTATTGTCTTTGTAAATTAAAAAAATGTGACAGTTTAAAAATGGGTTTTAAACTTAGAATTTCAATGTCGTTCAGGAAAACATGGGAACAAAACAGAATCATTGCTATGGAAAACCAAAGTGGGATTAGCTGCCACTTGGATTCAATGCTAATTATAGGGCTACTGTTTAAAGTAGATCTATAGGCAAAGCTCTTTTCTCCCATTTTGGAAAGAGTAAAAGAGGGTTATAACCCCCGGTAGATTATTTTTCACCATCTTGAGTCTCATTGCAGAGATTTCCCTTCACTTCCTGTCCCAAAGCAAAAGGAAATCTCTGCAAATTAAGGAAATTCTTTGGGGATCCCCAGGTCACCATAACTGGAGTCCCCTATTTTCCTCTATTACTTTTCTGGGGCCCACCCAAAATTTGGGATTTTCTTTTACATTCAATGATAACGGTAAACAGGAGAAATAGAGAGGAGGAATCTCCATAAAGGATAAATTCACCTTTCATAACATGTTACTCCCATATTCAGGGTGTTACATGTAATGAAAGGACTGGCTCCGCTTCTTCCCTCTGACAGCTAGCAGGGGATCTTCTGCCCCTGCTAGCTGTCAAAATGCTGTGAATGAGAAAACTACAAGTCTCGACAGCCTTACCCTAGGTTCACACCTGTGCAGGTTGCATTTGATGCGTTTCTGCATTGCGTTTTGCGTGGCACTTTTCTTTTTTCAATTTTTTTTTCCTCTTTTTCTTGTTGCTAGGCACATTGTAGCCTCTCTGGCGGTATTCCCGAGTGCAGCTTGGGGTAAAGTTTCAGCACCACAAGCGGTAACCGCGAGCTACACTGGGGAATACACTGCAGTGCTGCTCCGCAATCTTACCTTGTCTTGCGCTCCCGCAATGTCCCTCCTGCAGTGTCCCCGGCAATATAATCCGGCGGATGCCGGCATCTGTCTTCTGGGTTCCATCCCCTGTGAGCATCGGGACGTACGGGGATGGAACGGCGGGAAATTTGAAAATGACAAAAAGTGACATTCACTAAATTCACATAGAAAAACATTACTGTATCAAACCATTTCACATACATTTTGTCCTAGAGTGCTTTGTCCTGTGCCCTGCTTGCATTTTTACTGTTCTTTCTGCCTGGAAACTAAGAAATGTCCATGGCATCCAAAAAGCGTCTCTTTAGGTCAAAAGCGGTTTTAGACCAGCTAGAGAACAGCTATAGTAAATCAGAACCACTTGCAGAATTGAGTGATAATGATTT